TTTGAGTTTTTAAATATTCAGAGTAAGAAGCACTAAGGGAACACAAAGCATCCTAGGAAAGATCTAGCTATTATAGGTAGCACCAGACAGTTCTATCTTATTTGGAAGAAAGCAGAGAAGTTCTGGAGGGGATTCAGTTTATATAGTTGGTAGATTTTATTGTCTTAAGATATCAGAAATGTGTCAACCTACCTTCTCACAGGAGATTTATCCCAAGTTAGTCAAAGCTTCAGATTCTGAACTCTGAACTACTAGCATACATGGATACAATCCCAATAACTCAAAAACCAAGAAGCTTGCTGCTCTTCTATCAGTAGAAAGTTCCTCAAATTATGTCTAAGCTTGCAGGTGGGTGGCAATGATATATGGATATAGACTATAATAAGCTCTGGATCCTGGAAACACTACTTTTGGTTAGTAAATACTATCATTTTGAAATTTTGCCTGAAATAAACTGCTGCAGAGATACTTTCATGTGTGCTGAAGAGACTCTGCTACCTTGCATAAATGCAATGTAGGAAAAACTCTGAATAAACATAATCCAACTCTGGAAGTGCACAAGGATCTACTTTAGTTCCAGTGAATGCAAGTCAGGAAGCGGGGGCTAAAAAAGTGAGAATACGGGACTGAGATACTTAACACAGTTTGAGGTGGCATCAGAGAAGAGTTCTTAGAGAAGAAAAACACCTGACCTAGTGCAGGTTAGCCAGAGGAAGGAAAAAGAGGGTTCTATGCATAAGGACATCATGAGCAAAAATATGTCAGAGAGAGAAAGAGTACTGATGAATATAAGAACAATACCCCTGGACAGTAAAATGTTCAGGGACATGAAAAGAAAGATAAGGACCAGATCAAGGAGGGCCATATGTGCCTATTAAAGAGCTCTTGTTGATCCTGTCGGTACCAGCGATATAATAAAGGGGTTTACACTGAGGAGTAGAATAGTCTGATTTGGGTTTCTGGTGGATCAAATCACAAGGCAACTTTGTAGATGAACAATTTAAGGGCTATGAAGCTACAGGAAGGAAAAGCAGAAAGGTGATGTAATAAAGTGCAAGAAAAATGGGATCTGAATTAGAGCAGGAGTGCAGACACACAGTGGAAAATCATGTGTCAAATATTTAAGAGGCAAAAGGAGCAAAACTTGGTAATTAATTAAAGGTAGGAGGCAAAATCAAGACCTGCCAATACGGGAAGAGGAGACTCAGGAAAGGAACTGACTTAAAGTAGATAGTGATAAATTCTGTTTGGAATCTCTTCAATCTGAGGTACTTTGGGACCTCTAGGTGGAGATACTTAGCAAATCGCTGGTCTGAAACTCAGAAAAATATAACTAGAGATACAAATTTGGGATCCATCAGCACTTAGGTAATAGATAAAGTAACAAGACTTTGGATAAGATCATGCAGGGAGAGAGTGTACAGTTAGAAAAGTGGCAGCCCAAGATGGAACCAAGAAGAACACTAACATTTAGGGAGCAGGGTTTAAAAAAAAAAAAAGGAAGGAAGGAAAGGAGAAGGGAGGAAAAGAGGAAGGAAAGAAAAGAAAAACCTGAAAGGAGAAAGAAAAAAAGTGATTAGAGAAATTTGAGGAAAATGTTAAAGAGTTTCATGGAAGCCAAAAGAAAATTTCAATAAAGAAATTATTATTAGGACCAAATGCAAAACATAGGCTCAAGAGGTGATCACTAAAAAATGGCCATTTTGACAATCTAGGAGTCATTGATGATCTTAGCAAGATCTCTCTGCTTAAGATGTAAAGCAACTGCTATAGAATTGGGGCATTGTCTGAGAAATAAAGGGGTAGGGATGGGAGATGACACAACTCCTTTAAGAAGTTTACATGAAGAGCAAAAAGAGACTGGACAATACTTCCTAAGAAACCCTGGGTCAAGGGAGAATCAGGAAAAGGAGGGTTCTTCCCAGTTCTACTACTATATGAAGTTAAAGTTCTACCATTGATTCCAAGGGAAAAAGAGTCCAGTTCACAGATAAATGGTTACCATTACATAGTACCTACCAAAAGTTGAGAATTCCATATACTAGAAAGAACAGCAAAATTAAACTGTGTCATAGGCTCTCTAATAAGGAAATATTATCAGTGATAATACTCAAGGGATGAGGTCCTGGTTTTGCCACTAAGTTGTGTGACCTTGGGCAAATTACTTAGTCCTTTGTATCTCAATTTCCTCACCTATGAAGTGAGGATGATAATAGTACTTACCTTCTAAGTTTTGTGAGAATTAAATAAGATGCTGCATACAAAATGCTACCACAGTGCTGGCTTAGAGTAGGACCTCAAATTTGCCTTTATTGAGGATAACAGACAACAATTATATAGTGCTTAAAAAATTTCACTTTTTAAAAGACATATTTAGTTGTGCATTTATGACAAATCCTCATGGCATCCTGATTTACAGGTTCATAATTAGTTTCAATAAGCAGGTCACCATTAGTCCACTTAGGGGGAAAAAAAACACTGTAAACACATTACCCTCTGTATATGTGTATACCTTATAAATCAGTAAAAGGAAAACCAAATACTCAATTGTAATTTCAAATTCAAAATAATCTTTCTCTTCTATGGCACTGAGGTACAATTCTCATTAATTTCTGTAACAAAGTATACACTGCAGAGGCTTGTTCATCTTTGTGTCAAAAATGAATTAAACATAACTCTGAATGGTAATAAGTGCTGTACTGTTGTCTCCCTTTTTAATTTACAAGTGCAGTAGTCTTTAATGATATAGTATGCAACTCTTCCAGCCAATCCAAAGAAACAAAAAGATTCAATTATTCTCCAGATCTATGTGCAGTTACATATTTCCCTTATATATCAGAATTTCATTACTGCTGAAACAGATAAAGGCAGCATACAGCAAAAGATCTTATGATCAATAATCAACGAGTCCGAGGATCTGGGAGAAAAGCATAAAAATACATTACATTTCATAATATACAGCCTCATTACTGCTAAGAAGAATGCTGTCACCTTTTAAACAAAACACCTTTTTAATAAAACAAGGAGTAAAAACATCAACAAAGCTCTATTATCAGAATAATGAAAGTACAAATCTATAATTAAAATGTCAGTAAGTGATCTGAATTGACATGATAATGTAAAAAAACATCAAGTATGCAGTTTGCTAGTTACAGTAAATGTACATGGTGGCCAAATTTACATTCAGAAATTTCACACATAGATCTTTAAATCAGTAGTATAGCTCCTAAAGTCCTTAAGACTTTCTTTTTACAAATAAATCTATTTAGCAAAAAACATTATTTCTTGGATGAATTAACCCAACTACAAATGAGTATATAGTTAAATACCCTCACTGCACATCCTCACTTTTTTTCTTTTTTATTCTGTTCTATAAAGTACAATAGTCCTAGTATACTGTGCCTAGAAGCACAGTGATGAAAATACAGAACTGATATTTATGTCTTTGAAAATATTTGACAGATATTAAGCAATTAAAGCTGTTTGGACTTTAATGTTAAGATTTTTTTAAAAATATAATTTGTAACATCACAGTAACAATGGTACAACTCTTTTCCTCTGTTTAGCAAATTGTCACTATAAAAAACTGAAGCAAAAAAATAAACCATTTCCCCCCTGAAGTACTATACAATAATTGGAAACCACAATATTGGTACTGAAACAGTGGAGAAAGTGCCACATTAAAAATTAGACAAATCCATCTCACATAATTGTCCTATATCCTGTACCAACTTGAAAGGTATTCTAGGTACTGTAAATGGTACTATTTAGTTAACAAAAGGTCCATAAATCGAAAAAAAATTTTTTTTCACCCACTCAGGGTAGGCAAAAATGTATTATGCTGTGTACTAAATCAGGGCTAACATTACATTATGTGTTGAAGTGAAGGGTAGAGTGGCAGAGTAAAAGTGATGTCTTTGTTATCCTCCCGAAAATAATGTTGCTGGCACTGGAACAGTCAATACAAAGGAATGAAGGAGTTACCCCAGGTCTGGACTCAGCACCCTGTTTGTACCAATCACTGTCTAGCTACCACTGCTCCTTTTGTGGCAGGGTTAGACCCTTACAAAGAAGTGATTCTTTGGTTGAACCAACAGCAACCTAGACTCAACATGTAATAGGAAACACAATTTTTAAATAACTTGAGTGAATTTGATTCCTGGTGGCAGTCAATGTAAATATCAAGAAGTCATTAATCAGTGTTATATATACATTACAGTAACTGCTTATAAACAACAACTTGTATATTTCCGTACATTCATTTTTTTTCCTCTTAAGAGGACATTGAGCTAAATGTCTGAAACAATGCAAGTATCTAAAAATGTAAACTTCTATGCAGACAATACATACCACATCTCTTACTTTAGATAGCAAAAGATAATCACAGGGAAGGAAAAATACATTATGAAAACTAAACCCAAGGTACTTCCCTTAGGTTTCTTTTCTATTTCTCCCGGAGTCAGTAAAGAAGCAGTTGTTTCACATCTCTATTGATGGGACATTCTTAAGGGCGAGCCGACCCAGACCTAGGTTCATTTTGTAACTGGAGCCTGTTATCCCCTCCTCCAGCTGAATACAGTTTTCCTGTTTGTACGCCTGTTAAGTAGTACAGCTCCAAACTGAAGGAGCAACAAACCAACAGATGAAACCAACAAGAAATTCATCAAATCTCCGTCTAATGACACTCAAGGGCCAACCGCATCCTGTCTCCTCGAAATGCTCAAGGTCTCGCTAAAGGAAAAACCGGGGGTGGGGGCAGGGCGGTAAAGGTGGTGTATGTGCGTTACAGAGAGAAGCAGCCAGATCTGCTCAGGTGAGGTCGAGGTGTGGCGAGTCAGCAGCGATGGGGAAGCAGAGAAGTGACGCACGAGGGCGGTCACCTGTGGGGCCACTCGATCCAGCCCCGCCCCCAGGGACAGCTGAAAGAATCGTGGCCGGAAGCCCCCAAAACACGCCAGGGAAACGCAGAGCTGGGCCCCTTTGGCCCGGCCTGAACTCACCATCCACGGTTTTCTTCTTGAAGAGAGACGCCATGGTCAGGGACCGCGCCTGGGCTGCCCGGCTTGGCCCGGTCCGACCCGCGACTGAGAAAGGACAGGAGGGAAAGGACAGGCCCCTAGAGGGTTTGGTGTGACGGAGCGACGGGCCAGAGAGGAGGGCGGGGTCTCCAGGCAGGACCCGGGGAAGGCGGGTATCGGCGAAGCCTACCGCAGCCGACTCGCCCCGAGCTCAGGTGACCGAGAACTAAGACACTTTTTGGAGAAGTCACTTCTAGGCGGCGCCTGCGCATTAGGCTCGCGCGCCTGCGCACTGCGGCGCCTGAAGCTGCTGCCTCTGCCCTCATCTCAGCCGCTGCCGGCTCTCCCCGCTTGCGGGGTCGCGGCGTGGCGTGTCAGGGGGGGCTTTCGGTGGCAGCAGAGCGTGGGAGACCGTCGGCGGTGTCGGGAGGCTTCTCTGTGCGGCTTCCGTGGGGACATGCTAACAGAGATGGGCCTTGGTTAGCCCTTGCTTCCTTGTTTGGGGGAAGCTGGAAGTGGGGGTCTCTAGCGTCTTAGGACAAGTGTGGGTCGTCCCGGAACCAGTTGGTTTACAACCCCTCCCGTTGCTGTCAGTATCAGTGCTTTCATAAGTGCAGGGGTTGGTTGCAGGGCTGTGGTGCGTGCCTTGGCGGTGTTTGTCTCCGGAGTTCACGTTCTTTTCCGCCCTGACTCGTCAGCGATCTCCCGGGCGCCAGCCCGCGCAGCCCGCTGTGGGTCCCGAGGCGTTCACCTGCCTCGCTCGGCCCGGGGCTCCGACCACCCGGCAGGTCTCTGGGAGTTCTGTTCCTAGGCTTGAGAATAGCGGTGAGGGAAGGGAATAGGGAACAACTTTCACAATGCAACACTATTTACTATTCTTGGCTGGAAACATAAAAAAAAAAAAATAATAATAAATCCACACATTTGTATACTGGTTTAAACGTCTCCAGTTCTATTTCTTAAAATCTCGATTTCTTGTAATTGCTCGAAAAATTTCATGACTATGCTGTGAACCTATTAGAATGCTATATAGCTGGATCTTGGTGCTTAACGTGGGAGGAGGAACACCTAAAGGAAAAGCATAATAAATTATTTAAAGAATACTTGTGCGTATAAGCATAAATATGGAAAACACAATCTTTGGATCAAGACCTTAAGTTCATTGTTTTACTTCAGTGTGTGTGCGTGTGTGTGTACACATATCTCAGTTTAATATATTATTTCACTATTTAGAATCTTAATTTTGCCGTGAACTTTTTTCCTTCCAATCTATTAGAGCTTTAAGCAACACTGTCTTCCACAGGATAAAAATAGTAGTAGCCTTTGTTTCATGTCATTTCTGCCAGGGAAAACACTCCAGTAATAGTGTCAATACTATTAGTCACCTCTGGCTTTATGAATCATGTCTCAAAGATTTCTAAGTGTTTGTGGGAGTCAGACTTTGCTTCCCCATTTTTTTCTCTCATCAAAGTCCCCAGGGCCACTGATAACCCTACTGATGTTGCTAAAATTTAGCTAAGAGACTGCTCTTGAAAACTTTCTCAGAATAGTAATATGCAAAGTATAATTGTCTTATTCATCCTCAAATTATTCTAGATATTACAGGACAATGAAGAAGTACTCAAATGGGAAAAGATGTAAACAAGAATACTTAGGCTCTGCACGCTAGGCCTGGCCTTTCTGGTGTAAACTCCATGGTAAAAGGCAGTTTACCCTGGCTGCCTGTTGTAATGAATGGCATTGAGCTGTGCTTGAATGCATGAAAGGAAATAAGCTGTTATGTACGTAGTAATCGTACTCCTCCCTGCTGCAGTCACCCTTGTTTTATTACTCCTATACAATCCCCCCCACTGACCCAATTGTAACAGTTGGGAAAATGCCAAAATACTTAGCTGCAACCATATGGAAGACCCTCCAAAAGTGCACAGCAGGAGCTAAAGACAGGGCTTGTTCATTACAATAAAGACAAAATAAAAATATGTAGTATTTAAACTCAGCACTCTAATAGCTTGATTCTCCCATAGTTTGAAGCAGGCAGATATTAGCTGGTATGCACCAGACTGTCTGGCATTCACTCTGATTAGTTGGTGACCAAAGTACCAGTTCATATTTTGTATCTCACTCCTTATTTAAACGGCACGTACACTTTAATATAGCTGAGAAGCTGAGACTTAGGACACCATGGAGCCCAAAACTAGAATACATGGGTATTTTTCATTTCTTTAAAACAATTATCATAAACGAAACAAAACACAAAAAACCCCACCATCATCACAAACTCACTGAATGAATAAGACACCTATATAAGCATGGTGGGTAGAGAAAACATTTCAATTGTATTTTTTTTTAAATCTCATTAAGAAATGATGAACTAATATCCTATGGTCCCATCATTATGACCCAATGCTCTTTTTTCAGATTGCTCAGATAGCAAAAAAAAAAAATTACCTATGACACATACCACACTATGGACGGGGGACATGCCAGTGAAGAAACAAATACAGTTCCTCCCCACTCTTCTCTTACCCACCTTCCTACCAGTTTTTTCATCTTTTCTCATTCACTTGTTACAATTCTGACACCAATTCCAGTATGTGTGTATTTTTTTTCCCCACACCAAGCAATTCTCAGACATCATCTATGTGTTCTATAATTGAACTCAATTCTGACACTCTCTACTTGGAAAGAGTGTCAGATTCCACAGGTTAAAGGTTCAGTCTTATGGATTGCCCCCCCTTCAGATGTCAATCACAAATCCGGGTTGTTACTTGTGCTTCTGACTGACTAGCTAACAATCAGAGATTTCCATACCCTTCCCTCCCCATTATTGCAAAATATATAAAGGATACAAATCAACAGCCAGAAGAAGAGATATGCAGGGCAAGTTTCTGAACAAAGGAGTTTTTGTTCCCTTGGAGTTCAAGGCCCCAGCACAGTGGCATATAGAGGCATTCGGATTTCACCAACCTGGAAGCTCCCTCAACCCTGTCCTTTTGGGTTTTCAAGGGCGCTTCGTTATGTTGCATGACTGATTAAATCACCAGCCAGTGGTGACTAAACTCCATCTCTGACCCCCCCTCTATTCCCCAGAGGTTGCAGGGATGGGACTGAAATTTCCAGCCCTCTACTCACATTATTTGTTCCCCTAGTGGCCAGCCCCCATCCTTAAGTGCTTTCCAAAAGTCACCCCATTAACATAAAGTCAAGTGTGTTTGAAGAGGATTTGTCATGGCTATCAAGATACCTTATCACTCTCTTTTGTTTTACCCCATGTTCTTTTTTTTATTATGTTATGTTAATCACCATACATTACATCATTAGTTTTTGATGTAGTGTTCCATGATTCATTGTTTGCATATAACACCCAGTGCTCCATGCAGTACGTGCCCTCTTTAATACCCATCACCAGGCTAACCCATCCCCCCACCCTCTCCCCTCTAGAACTCTCAGTTTGTTTCTCAGAGTCCATAGTCTCTCATGGTTTGTCTCCGCCTCCGATTTCCCCCCTTCATTTTTCCCTTCCTGCTATCTTTATTTTTTTTAACATATAATGTATTATTTGTTTCAGAGGTACAGGTCTGTGATTCAACAGTCTTACATATTCACAGCACTCACCATAGCACATACCCTCCCCAATGTCCATCACCCAGCCACCCCATCCCTCCCACCCCCCACCACTCCAGCAACCCTCAGTTTGTTTCTTGAGATTAAGAATTCCTCATATCAGTGAGATCATATGATACATCTCTTTCTCTGATTGAGTTATTTCGCTCAGCATAATAACCTCCAGTTCCATCCACGTCATTGCAAAAAATGGCAAGATACTTTATCACTCTTATCACTTAGGAAATTCCAAGGGTTTTAGGAGCTCTGTGCCAAAACAGGACAAAGATCAAATATTTATTTCTTATTATAAAAACAATATCACACTTGTCCATCACAGAGAAGCAGGTTTTGGCTCGTTTTAAGAAAAAGAGCTATTCTAAAATGGGATGAGTGCTGTGTGAGTTGTAAGTTCCTTGTCAAGGAATTGTTCAACAAGGAGCAGGTTGTTGTAGACAGGATTCCTTTAAGGAATCAAAGGCTTGATTAGAAAGTTTCTAAGATTTCTTTAAAATCTGCAATTTTACTTGGATAGCATAGAGTTCAGGCCAAATACCTTGGCATATGGTGTTTCACGCCCTACAAATAATACTACCAAATCCTGTTGGCTTCACCTTTAAAGTTATGATAAAGCCCAGAAGATATAGTATTTCACCATTTTGAATCATCCTGATTCAGGTAACCTTTATCTCTCATCTGGATCATTATCACCTGTGTTACTGCCTTGCTTCTATCCTTACCTCATTCCACTTTGTCTTAACATAGTGTTGCAGGATATCTTTTCCTTCTTCCTTCTTCCTTCCGTGCCTGCGGTTCTTGGTCACACCACTTCGAAGACTGAAGAAGTAGACCAGACAGAGTGGTGGGCAGCAAAGCAAGGTTTACTGAGTGATAGTAAAACAAAGTTTCTTGAGTGATAATACAAAACTCCTGAAGAGGAAGGGGACCCAATAGGTTGCCACCGAAGTTTCTAAGTCTAGGGGTTTTTATGGGATTGTTGGAGGGCTGTTTTAATCTGATTAACCCTCCCTGCGCCTGTCATCCAATTGAGTTTTTGTCGTCTGCCTACCACGTGGGAAAGGGTGAAGAGCTGGTGTAAAATCCTTTTAAGGCTGGTTTCCTCTTAGGGCAGGAGGTCCTCTTGTCCCTGCCTGCCTTTCTTCCAACTGTCCTTCATTAATAGGAGACAGAGTGGTCCTGTTAAAATATGGATCAGATCATGCTGTTCTGTTTCTCAAAAAGAGATCAATGTATTCCCAATACTTAGGTCTGGAGTACACACACACACCTGTTCTACAGACTAAACTTCTGTTGTTTATTCATTAAATGTCCAAATTTTTACCATCCAGGTTGCCCTCCTAATAATTTCCCTTCATTATGTGTCACCCAGGTGGAACACAACTATTTAGATGCAATCTTAGAATTATACCATCCATTTCTGCCCTTGTTCTGTGTACTGTATTTCTGACAGCACTCTCTTCGAGTGCATTAGCGTTTTTGACGACCATTCTTTGAATCACATCAAACTTTTAGTCAAGTAAAACTTCAGTACTTTTTTAAAAAATACAAATTTCTGCTTAGTCCTCCCCATCCTCTATTTGATTAATGGATAATTTTAACCTAAAAATCTAAAAACAAAACTTTTCATGCA